TCAGGCTTCATCGCGAGGCTCTGATGGCCGTCACGCGTCGCGCCGTGGTGACCGACCGACGCCAAGGCTTGGCCGCCGTGTGGCTGCCGTTAGCCGTCGTCGGGCCCTCGCCGCGATGTGCTGGCGCGCGCATAAGGAAACCACGCGTGGCTCGGCTCAGTCATTCCTTCACGCTCCCTCACTCTCCACTGCCTTCCTCTGCCTTCGCACTATCCACAGCGCAACGCCGCCGACGCCATCACCGGCCACTTGGCCTCGCCTTGCGCCCGCGTAGCTCCTTCGCCACCGTCGTAGCTCTGACTTGTTCCCACCGCATCACCGCACCCGCCTTGCTTGCTAGCCGCGCATGGTAAGGCCTCTGTGCAGCGCATGGCTTCGCCATTGTTTCGCCGCCGTGCCACATCGCCGTGGCCGGGCCACCTCCGACCACCGCGTGCCACGATTGAGTGCGCGATAGATTCGCCGTAGTGCGTAGAAGCTAGGCCGAACCCTAGATGGCGCCGTCTCGGTCACCTCCGGCGACTCACCGTCGACCGTGTCCATCGCACCGCCATGACCACCGTCGTCGTCCTTAGCCTCGCTAATTCGTCCAACTAGCTACACTCGTGCGTGCGGGATGTCATGGGGAAGTTCGTAGTGCCGGTGCCGTCACCGGAGAGATCGCTGTCGGTGAACTCCGGCCGGTCCACGCCGGTCCTCTGCTTTTGGCTCACTAACGCACGGGCCCGACTGACTCAGGGGTCCTAGCTATCAGCAGCTATAGGGTAGAGCTAGTTCATTTATTTTAGATTTGTATGCAAACTTTGAAAAATCATAAGTGGAGTTCTAGATGTCCAATTTTTGTGAACCAAATTTAGTTGGTTTCCTCTTGAAGTGTAGTATTTTATAAAAATATGAGATGTATAGTTCCTAGTATTTTTCATGGTGATTAGAATGTATCTAGAATGCTTTTTGAATATTTACAATCTTGTAAATTATATATCTTGAGCTAGAAAAGTGATAAAATTGTGATTCCAATTTTGCTAGTCTTGTGTTCACATGCTTTAGCTAGGAAAAATATTAAGCTTGCAGTAAACTTGATTGAAATATGATCTTTCTAATAAATAACATTTTCTGAGGAAAATTATTGGGATAAAAATATGTAACATATTGCTATGCAAATTTTTGTACAGTAGTATGGCACTAATATGAATCTAGAAAAAATATATAATCTGTTGTTTGACACTTTTCTATAGGATTAACTATTTTCACTAAAATAGACCTTGCCAGCTTGTTATTTTTGCATAGGATGTTATACATGTCCAAAAAGTATGAAATTTTCAGAGTAATCTATTGTGAGCACTAGGAAGTTACTGTAATTTTATGAGAATTTATTGTGTACATTTGGTGTAAGTTTATTATTTCCCCTAATTATTTAATTAAATTAATAAAGGCATTTAAGTAATTAAATTGTGATTTACCATGATGTTTTCTATGGTGCTTGGGATGCATAGTAACTATTGATGTTCATAGTAAGGCTTAGAAGCAATTGGTTGTATGTAATTAATTAATTGTTGCTTTGTAATTCAAATAGATGGTTGCATGTATAATTTCGGTTGTGTGGATAATTTCATGTTGATAATGGTCTTTTCTATAAAACTTGTTAATAACAAAGTTGTAAATAACTTACTGATCTAGCTTATGTTAAATTTTCATGGTCATAGGCCTTAGGGTTTAAAAGTTTTGGTTGTTGGAAGTTTGCTGTCCGAAAGGTTTACTTTCTGGATAGATTTGATTAATCGAATTGTTTGACCTAGATAACTATTGAATCACCTAAGGGTATTAAAATAAAGTTATAGACAATTTCATAAGGTTTCCAGAATGTCTACAACCATATGATTTCGATGTATATAACTCTAGTTATGGTTAAAACAAGTAGCTACTGTTTTGTAGTTCGGTAAATGAATTGCAGAAATATTTGCTTAAGTAATAGAGAAGAGATATGCACCTACTCTGTAGAATGGGATGAACTTGTTATTACTTTGACACCATGCTGTTGAAAATACTTACAAGGATGCATTCGTCACTTTTTATCATATTATATGTGTCGTCATACATGCATTTGCAATATCTTATTCCATGATCGTGCATATAGGATCGACCGAGGAGATAACATTGCTGGAATTCAACAAAGAAGAGGAAGGGGATCAGCAGGAGACTCCTCAAGCCGCAGCTCCAGAAGAAGAGGAGCAAACTCCAAAAGAGTTCCCTGAGTGTCCAGATCACCACCCCACCTCTTTTCTCAAAGGCAAGCTCCGGAGCATTCTAAGTCTCCTAGTGTTTTACAAAATACTATTTGAGTCCTTTATGTTTGATGCATTAGGTTATAAGAGTAGATTGAAAACATTTGATGCATGGAACTACCTTATCTAGATACATATACCTTTAACCCTATGTAGGTCCAGGATCGAATATATGCTTAGCCATGCTTAGACCGGTAGAAGTCGGGTGATTTTCTGTCACCTGCGAGATATAGGTGGATACTAAAGCATGGTTGGCTATATTTGCTATCGTGGAAAAGAACCATGGGGTAATGTAAATGGAGGCTAGACGGAGTCTATGTGTAGGTTGACTCATGTGATTTTGTCTGTACCGATTAAGGACCGTACCGTTGTTGGCCCTTCTGATAAGATTGAACGCATGCCTATCACTTAGCTGGCCGGATAACTCGTTCTGACCGCAAAGCTGAGTAGCTCAACTCAGGCCGGGCCCCGTTCTATAAAAGTGCGCACTCTGGATGGTAGTAAGGATGTGCGGGGAGCTAGCCTTGAGTCCAAGGGCAGGGTAGTCCTAATCGTCCTGGCAGCTAGTTGTCCCTAATTGTGCGGCGCTGGGCGTATCCGCGAAATGTGTACTTGAGTTGTACCAAAGGTGACCTAAGGTGACAGTTGATTTGGTCTGCCTAGGTTTGTGTTAGGAATAAATTCCCAACTGGTTGAAATCGATTCGAATCACCGTCTCTCCCGGATAGTGAGAAACTTGGCTAGCACCAACATCGTAGTAATTGTATTATGGAATGTGATGGTTCGGATAAATATAGAATTACTACACCGGCTATGGTTACTATTGTATGCTCTTAAAATGCTATACCACATGTTTGGCATAGGTTAGTTGCTAATCTAGAGATAAATAGCTATAATTAACTTGATGACCTAAGTACAACTGTGTAACTGAGTTAATCACTTTTTATGCAAAAATATTGTCAAGCTACCTCCACTTATAAAGCCTTGCATAATCCTAGTCAATTTATTTCTGGTTCATGACGGGTAAGTCTAGCTGAGTACCTTCTCGTACTCAGGGTTTTATTCCCATTGTTGCAGATGGTACCGTCTATCACGGCTATTGCAAGAATTGCTTCTATCCCGTCGTGGATGAGGAGTGAGCCTTGGGCAGGCATCTTTAATAATCCTTCTATATGCTTTTGTGGATGGTGATCATGTGTTGGCACTGTATTTGAACTATGTTGACAAATGCTACTTTCGAACTTTAATTTGCTTTCGCTACTATCTATCGAACTTAGTTTGTAATAACTTTATTTCGTACTCTGATGAATGAACTGTATCTGTGAACTTTATGTAACATGTGACATGTATATTGAATTATGTACGATCTTGGTTGTATGTGGATCGTTTATCGAGACCCGTCGTGGTACTCGACGGACTGCCGGGTTTATATGAGCTCAAGTATGATAGTGCGACCGCTTGTGGGCTGTCATTGTACTTGTGCTCTTATAAATTGGTCGGTTCTGCAACAATACGGGTCTGTTTGGTTAAAATATGGCTATAAGAAAAGGTTGTTGTAGGCTGTGAGTTATGAAAAAGTTGTTGAGAACTGTGAGCCATGAAAAAGCTGAAAGTTGTTTGGTGGAAACAAGTATAAATTATACCTCGTATCTTTGTATCCCTTGAAACGACTATGAAAGAGTTCATTCCACTTATTTTGAAAAGCAGAAAGACAAAAGCAGGTTTTAAGGTGTTTTCAAAATCGGTAAATCTAAATAGCACTTTGTGCACTCGATTTCATGTGCGTCATATGCACGCGATTGATGACCATGGACGCTCGCTAACACATGGACTCTAACACCGCAGCCCAAGGCAGGCCCATGCACATCTCTCTTCGGTAGAAACAACAGCCACATGCCACCGCAGCCCTTGTGCCCGAGGACCACACACATGCATGCCACCTCGGCCCCTGTGTCTGCTAGGGCAGCAGCGTTTTAAAGAAATACTAACAGATTATATTTTACTGAATCATATTTTACTATATCTGTTTGGGTATAAGTTATATATTTAATTGATATAAATTGGTTTATTTGTAAATAAGAAGAGTAGTTATCTGATCATTTTGTTTTTTTTTTTCTATTTTCTGTATGTTTTATTTGGTTCCCTTTAAAAAATTTCGATTTGGCTTCCATAGAAATAACGTGGCTAATTTGTTTTTGTTTGTTTAATATTTTTATATTATTTAGATAATATTTTTCTATTTAATCTGGACCAAATAGTCATGAGAATCAAGTGTTGGATGGACTAAAAATACCCGTGGGCCGTAGACAGCCCCATAAATATATGAAATGTAAAAAGCACATGCTTCCCAAGAAACAACCTCTTTGTTTGGGCTTTGGCTTTTAAGAAGCAAAAGTAGTCCTAAAAGCCCAACGAAACATACCCTTAAATGACCTTATTTTGCCACCGAATCGTAGATCTAATATGCCGAGCATCTAATGAGCTCCTAGATCGAAGTTAGAAAGAACCAAACATCAGCCATTAGTAAACCGCACGTCGTCTGGCTTGGGAAAGCCTTATTTCAACACACACGAGTTACATGCAAGATGAACAAACCACAAGTTACTAGCAATCTAACATGTTATTATTACCCTGTGACCACAGAAGAAAACTCAGCATCACGGGCCGGTGCTCAATGGAGATTCGTCTCCATCATTTCGTCAGTTGTCGACTTTCCTCTTATTCACTTGGTGAGGACACCATTGGAGACAGCGGCGTCGGTGACAACAGGGTGGAGGTGGTGGACATGGGCTCATGGACGACGGTGTTGGTTGAGACAGCGATCGGGTTGCCGTCCAACTGCAGCATGATGGCCCCAAGAATCTCTGTCAGCAGCTTCTTGAACTCTGCTTCGTCCACGGCCTTCAGGTCATCAGCTTTCGCCATCTTGAATGCTTCGTTCACCACAGCATCCATCTGTTGTATGTTTGTTTGGAAATCCATGTGTATATATCGATTATTTTAGAAGGTCCAAACGTTTCGTACTTTTGAGTGCCTGTGACGGTGCTACAGATAGCATGAACGGCTCTGCAACGTACCTGATCGACGGCTCCAAAAGGTGGCAGACTTGCCAAATCGGCAATCCTATCAAGCGCAATCCGGAGGTACTCCTTCGACGTTTTATCTTTCTGTTCTTTCGGAACGTCTCTCCACACAGAATCCAGGAGCTGCAATACAAGTTCAGTGATATATGTTGTTCGTCAGTGGTGTCGTGTATAACCGACAAGTCATCATCATGAAAATGAAACTGGCCAAACTGCTCAAGTGTAATTGTCATACACATACCTTGTCGAATTCGAACTTGTTCGACAGTAGCCTCCTGATACCACTCCCGTCAAAGGTATTCTCTGTATGGGCGACGATCACAGGGTGCTGTTGCAGTCTTAGAGCGATGATGCCCAGAAATTTCCTGAATTCTTGGAAGAAGACTTCCTGGGAAACAGGCTGATCGAGCTGATTAGCAGACAGTTCTTGCAACACAGGCTCCACAACATTCTCCATGACCTATATCCAATAAAGCACCCAATCATATATACGCTAGTTACTGCATATGTCCAGACTCTCAGGAATACTACTGTGCCATCTCAGTTTCCCTACCCAAAGAGCATGGAGTAGTAACATCTATCATTAACTACCAAGTCAATCTTCACCTCTGACAAAGGATAAATGTTACTAATTCGTCGTAAATATTGAGTACAGTGTAGTCGTGGAATTACCCAGGAATCAGAAGCTGGTGGCATGCCGTGGTCGACCGTGAGCTGTCCAAGAGCGGCCAACAAGCACTGGTGCAGCGTTGCGTTGTTGGCAGACCCCACTTGTGAAAATATGGCCATGGCTTCAGGCTCATACCTCGGACTCTCAACGAACTCATTCAGGTCCTCTCCGTTTATCCTAAGGATCACAATCGGGTCCCTCTTCAGCCCATCCGCCATCCCAAGGAGTATGTCGGACAGCACGCGCTGGAACTCTGGCTTGCTCACAGAGTCTTGCTTCCCATGAGTGAACTCGTTTAGGACCTGCAGTGCACAATGTAGATTAATGTATATGTTGGTATGTAGTAATTTACACGAACTGTGCTATGGCCTATGGGAGTGCCCCAGCAAAGCCCAATTTGCACAAAATTAAACAACAAGGTTATTTCGTTACTCAGAATGTTCTACTACTCCTATAAGCGATTGCCTGTGGTTGCCAACCTTCAAGAGATCGTTTTTTTATGAGTTGCCTTCAGGAGATGGTCACGTCGGTGAAAACAAAACAAAACACTACAGCTGCACTGCAATGATATACTGCCACAAAATTCTGTAGACCGGATACTCCCGGAATTCTCGACTTAGATTGAAAGGAAACAAAGGGTAATTGCCTGGTGACGCAGCACAGAGACTTCACTAATCACTGGTTTTGTCAATCTAGCTGGTTTTGGCGAGAGAGAGACATTTTGCATTGGAAACAGGCACGTTCCAGGACTCAGCCTGCATTTTGTAATAGATTTATTTTGGGGAAACCTATATTAACAACAAGACCTACATGAATTTTTTCATGGTATTCGTATTGTCAACCCTTAGCAAGCTAAGTGGCTGGTGTTTACCGATCGCCTCTAGAAATGAAATAGGAGCCTCCCTAAAAAAATGTATTTCAGAGTCGGTTCATTAGCTGGGACCTTTTAAAAGTGCATCTGTAGGGACTTAATTCTCTAAGGACCGTTTCAAGCCGGACTTGAAAAAAGAAACGTATCCAAAAAATCATGTATTCAAACTGATATCTATGACACAAGGAATAAGTAACACGCAGTCAGTCATGTTATGGTTGAGTTTTCAATAATCCCGTGGTTTATATAAATTGCCAATTTTGACTTTACTATGTAAAAGTTTGATTTTATTATGTATCTAGACATCTTAGTATATAACAAAAGTTATGAATCTAGAAAAGCCAAAAATGCCTTATAATTGGGAACTGAGGGAGTATTATTAGATATTCTTGAGTCTTCAGTAGGAACAGTAAAACACCAAGTTTTGGATGCATATAAAAAGGGAGTAAACATGTACTGTATACGACCCGAACTCTAGGCTTTGGGCTCCATTTATTTTGTGTTGCTTGATCGAATATAATGTCACTTGTGCACTCTACAACAAGAATCTTGGCCGAGCCACTGAAATTATTTAGATGTGATTTATGATGACAAACTAGCTCCGACACAGAAGAGCCTACCTGATGTGTACTTTTTAATAAAGCTATATTATATATAGGCATGTTTGGCTCAGCTAATTATATATTTGCTAGGACTGTAAAATAGGCCCGTTTGTTTTGCTGAAAAAAAAAAGAAAAAACACTGTTCCCAGCTGATTCGTTGCGAGGGAAAATGTTGTTTCGGCTGGAAAAACAAGCTGAGAATTATAAGACAGACGAACAGGGCCTAAATTAGATGGCTAACAACTAGTTACACGCTTAGGTAAAGAAAAGAACTTGTATATTTGATAGGCTATGACAAAAAAAAAATACTGTAGCGGCTAACCATTAGCACTGTGCATCCAATCCGAACAGGACCGACCTGTCCGTGACATGAATACAAAGATACTGTAGCTAAAAAAACAGAACTGTAATAAGCTCGTATGTACATAGATTGGTACCTCCGCGTAGATGTGGTCCGCCTGCGGCGACGACCCTCTCGCCGGCAGCCCTATGGCGGCACCGATGTCAGCAACGGCCGGCTGGAGCTCTTTCACCGACAGCCTCCCGTCGCCATCAGCGTCGAGCTTCCGGAATCGGTCGTCAACGAACCTAGTGAACGCCTCCTTGCTCTCCACGAGAGCCCGGATCTCCGAGCCGTCCTGCACCTGCAGCACGCCGTTCCTCTTCCTCCTCACCTCCTGCTGCTGCTGCTGCTGATGCTCCATCGGCGCGCTAGCTACGCGCTTTTATATATAGCACACGAGGACGAGCGAGGGGGTGGAAAGAAAAAGGCGAAAGGGAAAGTTGCAAGTTACAGCGACAATGGCAACGCCGGCCGTGGGTTCCTCGTGACGCGGGCGCGATCGAGATGGCCTGCTGGTGGCGAAGTGGCTAAAAAGATGAGGTATTCACGAGCCGCAAGCCTGAAACTAGCTATTAGTAGCTATAGAAGATGGATCTTGATGTGTCTTTTTCTTTGGGCGTGATGAGCTAGATATGCGATTTAATTTGTTCTCGTGCGGATGAGAAGAATAGACACAAGCATGTTTTTTCGGCTGAATTGACTTATAAACCAACTGATTTGGTACAAGAAAAAACTACTGTTTAAATTATGAATTATAAACTAGATACGAGCAAATAAGTTAAAACGAACCGGTTGAATTGTTGGCCCGCTTCTAGCGTGGTTCCATTCCATGATTGGTGCCTTTTATAGTTCGTTGTCAGTTTTGGGTCGAGTGTGAGTCTGGAAGAGAGACGAAAGAGGCCCAAAGACGAGAGATGGCGCCTGCTGCTGCGCTGGGAGTAGTAGTTTGTGTCCACCTGGGGGAGGAGCATGCAGATGCAGCTGCTGAAGCGTGCACGGGACGGGTGTAGATGCTGCGTGGCGCTTCCAGACGCATGCAAGTACTGTCTTGTACTCTATTGTATTGTTTTCCCGTTTTCCCGGGTAGTGTTTATCGTAGTCAGACCCATATTGCGTGACGGAGTTGGTGACGAGAACCAGAACATTCCTGAGCGAATACATGTGTCTCTCGTGGCCTCATGGGCGTGGACCAAGAGACGTTCAAGATGCTGAGATAATTTCCAGTCAAGAACAGTGTTTTTCTCTCACATCAAATCAACCAGCAGTAAATAATTCACGATACGATACGGCCTCCCGAACATACTTAGATCGTCCAGTTATTGGTTGGCACTGTCCTCCATCACTGATACGCTAAATGTAGGTAGCGTTTGGTTACCAGGCGATTCCCAATAATCTGGATAAAAAAAATCCGAATCCCAGAATCCAATCCAAACACGGTAGGATTCTAGTGGATTTTAACACACATGCACATAATCCAATAAAACACTTCAGATTTTTTTTTATTCAGATTCTTAAAATCCACTTGGATCCAAATGAGACCGTAACACTCCCTCTGTCCTAAAAAAAAAGACGCTACTGGATGCAAGCTGATCAAACTTTCTTAAGTTTGACTACCCTTATAAAAAATATTAACAACATTTATATCACTAAATAATTTATTATAAAAATATACTCTGATTTATCAATGCTTCTCAGGAAGTGAGTGACATTCTATATGGGACAAAGGGAGTAAAAGTTTAGAGCAACAGCATTGTTCCTTTATAGAAAATTCTGTTGTTTACTTTTGTCGTCGTTTTTAGCAGGGTAGTATAGGAAGTCAATAACTCTCTACTCGTAAATATTACTTCTGTTTTCAACTTAATGAAATGCGCTAAAAAATCTGGATAGAAACCATTCTCAGATAAAGAGTGTTGCATAGAAGAGGCACAATACAATTGCTTCGAGCATTACATTTTACCCATGCACAGGTTTGTTCATTTTAGATAGCACCTGCAACATCTTCTTGGAGGTAATCTCTTATGTAAGCCATGGCCTTTGCAGGTTTCTGAAACTCTATGAGATCTCCCAGAGTTCAGAGTACTAAACAATCTAATTGTTGGGTCTGCATCAAACATTTATTTATCAAGATATACTTATCTAAGCAACTGAAATGACAATGGCTAGAGAACGTTAACATCAATATTTGTCCTGGTTCCAGAAAATGAGCAACCCAGTATGCAGATTAAAACAACAAAGAAAAATGGCAATTAAAATATTTTTTAAGTTATATATGAGATACAGCAGGTTAGGAGGCAATTAATACATACGAAGAACTGATTTCTTTAATATACAACAAGTAGGTGTAATGAATTGTTTAATACTCTTACATTTCAGTTTGAACAGTAGGGTACTAAGAACTTGACTGAATATATGAAAAGTATAGTAACCAGCAGTGCTTTTTTAACACATGATGACATGTAAAGCACGAAGGGCATTAGTACTGCGATAATGAGAAAATGAAAACTTCGATTCTGCAGATGGAAACTAATCTGCACCTGGTTTCTAGCCATTTGTACAATAAACTGAACTGGTGAAGGGACATTTAACTCTCTGATCTAACTAAATAGCTAAGTTGTTTACTTATCGGTTAATCGAAATGCAGATCAAGGAAACCCAAAGGTTTGGGGAAAGTAGACTATTGCAGGTCTCTTGCGGTAGAGAAGTGTAGCTGTTTCATGACGAATATCGTGGAGGTAGGAAGAAAGGAGAAGAAGCGAGACTTTGAGGTGGAGATGACAGCACCATAGTGGACAATAGTGCATAAGTAGGCGACAGAGCGAGGTCGGGGACCGAGCGGGCCTGAACGTACCGGTGCCAGCCGGTAAGTGCCTGCTGCCATGGCCGGCACATACCTGTTCTCAGGCTCAGCTAAAAGGTAGCATATATCAAAGCCTACAAACCAATAGTTTGTCCCATTCCAAATTTCCAAACTTCAGATAATCTTAATGTAATGCAGCAGTGTGAGCACCGGAGGTGGACCAGTCGATCAGACAGTGGCATGGGCTCAGTAGCGATGGCGAAAGCCATCCAGGTCAAGCTTGTTGATGGCAATCAAGTGCCGTTGCGGCAATAGTCTATTGGTCGGTGACTAACAGGTCATCTGTGTCCACATATTTTTTTTCAGGTTCCAATTGAACAATCATCTCATGGAGACAAAGCATCGAACACTTGCTGTGCATATGTTCTTTGAATAGATAGAGGTGGGTAGCAAGAGACGTACCTCGCAGTGTGGCACGCGCTTCCTTGACTACATGTAGCAAGAAGGTTATAGGCTTATAGCAGCCGGAGACATTCGCGGGGAGGGGAGAGGACGCCAGGAGCAACGGCAAGACGATGCGAGGGGCGACCGCCGCCAATTCGTCGCGGACGTCGTGGAATAATTTCTTTGAGGTCCAGCAGCTGGATCCTGGATCAAGTGGATGCGAGCGGCGTAAGACGAGTGTGGATCGGTCGCGGCAGTGAACGCAGGTGAGAAATCGCTGCCATCTCCTCCAGCCGTCCAGCGCCGGGGCCGCGGTCCACGTCTTCACGCCGCTCTCCTCCAGTACCGCGCCCGTGCTCAGGCGGCGGAGTTGCGCCCCTTGACTTCGCTCCGCGGCCGAGCGGCAGAGGCGCGGCCCTCGTCTTCACGCCGCTCTCTAGCGCTCGTGGCGAGTAGCAGCGGCGGCGCGGCCTCAGCGGGGGAGCGGGCGGCGAACGGTGGCGTCGCCTCGGCGGGGGAGCGGGTGGCGCCCGGCTCGCGGCATGGGTGGGGGCTGGGACGGGGGCGGCGCTCGGTGGGGACGGGAGCGGCGGTGGCTGCCGAGGCGCGGCGCTGAGCGAGCTAGTGGGGGCCATGCCGGCGGTGAGGAAGCAGGTGAGCACCGCCGTGTGCAGATGGCCGAGGCCCAAGGCCTGAGGCGCGGCCTAGCCACGAGCTCGGGCCAAAGCTCCGGAAACGCCGGTTGCTGTGCCCGTTTCAGTCATCCGATCAAAATCGGATGGATAAAACAAAAAGAGAGACTTGGCCTAATGACGTGCTCGAGCTTGGCTCAGGATTTGAGAGAAAGAGATAATTTTTTGATAACAAGATGCTGAGATATTGAATGTGTTTTCTTCCATGTGTACTCTGTCAGTTCCAACACTACTACGGTTTGATGAAGAGATTATTACTAGTGAAAAATTACATATATTTCTATAAAAAATATAATCATAGTACTTTGAAAGAAGAGAAAGTTGAAAAAAAAACAATTAGAGTTAGATTGTCCCATATGAGATATTTTTTTGACAACGAGATGCTGAGATATTGAATGTATTTTCTTTCATGCGTACTCTCTCTCTGTTCCAACACTGACGAAGAGATCATTACTAGTGAGAAATTACATATATTTCTATAAAAAATATAATCATAGTACTTTGAAAGGAGAAAAGTAGAAAAAACAATTAGAGTTAGATTGTCTCATATCTAAAGATGCACCTATTTTCCGATTAAAAAAAAGATGCTCCTATTTTATGATAAATTTTGAACTCTAAAAGTGTACTTATTATGGGATGGAGGGAGTAGTGCCGAGAGTCTTTTATTTTTCTAGAATTTTTTATGTCAAATTAAAATATATACCATGATAGGTATAATTGTATGAGTGATGCCGAAAAACAACCCTGAGAAATCATATACTAGTTAGAGAATAAACTGATTTCATCATCCAATAAAAACTCAGGATTGATAGTGCATGCATGTCAGGACATTCAGCCTGTTCGCTTGTTCGTAAACGATCGTAAATTTTCAGCTGTGAACAGTGTTTTTCTGTCACACCAAACCAGCCAGCAGTAAATAATTCACGATACGATACGGCCTCCCGAACAGGCTGATTGTTGGCGGTCCTTAACTCTAATTTCTAACCGCCAACCTTCACATAAAATATGCTCAAATAAACACCAAACTTAGAATTAGGCTTTATAACTAACGAATTTCACAAGTTTTGGTAATTATTCATTTACATGAAAACATGTTAGATTAACATAGAAAATATGCTTAAAGTATACAAAGAATACAACAAAACATAGACCCGAAATGAGCCCAAGGGAGAGCAAGCCTGTTACCAGACAAATCAGGGCCCAGACGAGTGGAGGACAAGCCCATAACGACCAATTCAACTCAGCGCCAAACCGTCATGGGCCGAGCCACAAACCTCACTGGAGTTCACCCACTGCACCCGCACCGCACCCCAGCTGGCCCAACCAGCCCCATCTCGCGTGGGCTGCCTCTTACCGCCTTTCCAAGGTCGGTTGCTGAGGTTTTGACCAGATTCAACGTACTCAGAAGTTGGTTTGGTGGTGTCGTGG